GTTCCCAGAAGAGGTATCTAAAGAAAACCACAATGATGGCAAAATGAGGACACACATACATATTGAAGTAATCAAACAAATGTCACCCTTGTGTACTTGTGTCCAAACATCTGACACAAGCATATAAATCACAAAATTTATGGGATGAGTCACATCACTCTCATGCCTTTTCTGGTTTTCAGCCCTCAAAAAGTTAGAAATTAAGACCACTGTTACAAAAGCAACAGTGTCAATCACAGAACATGCAGAAGGCATTTCCAAAACTCTGATTGGCTGCCATCCCCAAGTCTTTATGTTTATGGCTTGCTGTCTGGCAAATGGGAAATGACAATTCATATAATGGAACTTTGCTGATACTCTCCCAGCATGCATTTCACACAAAAACTGGTAAGACTAGAGGAAATGCATCAAGCTCCACCCAAAAGATTGTTCTTATCCAGTTACCATAATAGACCCTGGGACACTGCAACCGTCATAAATGTGAATCAGTTGTGAAGCATCTGTAAATCACATGATCATGGGGATGCTTCAAAGATCATAAGTTTGAAAAATGGTCATAAGCCACGTTTTTCAGTGCTGTTGTAAATCGGGGACTACCTTTATTCTGATGTAGATGTCATGAACCTAATCTCTCAGTTCAGCTGAGTGAATGATTTGCAAGTATTGTGGTTGTTACTGAGCAAGCTTCCATAAAATATTAAAATTGCTAAAGAACTGCTAAAAACGTACAGATACTAAATGGCTACTACAAAATTGCTGAACACTGGGTCATCAAAACCAACACGGTTTCAACTTCCTTTTAACGGGAAGTTAAGTACAGCATATGCTGATTCTGTAAACCGCTTAGAGAGGGCTGTAAAAGTACTGTAAAGTGGTATATAAGTAAGTGCTCTTAAGATTAAAAATGACTCTTTAAACATTGGCAGGATTCTGGGAATCTGCAAACATCTGAGTCTGGAAAGCTGATCTAGTAGTTAAAAGTCATATGCAGGTGAGGGCGCGAGATTGATTTTTTTTGCAAAGTTTTGAGAGAAACCATTGTGCCCCAAGTGTTTGTGGCAGCCACAGACCATGAAGGAAAAGCCCAGAATCTCAATTTCTAATCTTTGGATTTATCTCCCTAGAAACAAGCAGTTCTGACCACCTTGAGAGTCCCTTTCAGTGTTTAAAACCCAAATCTCCAACTATTTTTAAATACAGAAGGCACTTTGTTCTGTCCTTTATAATTACTAGTTGAATTTAAGGCAGACTGACTTACTCCACAAAGGCATCCATACAAAATCTCTTTATTGGTTCATCAGGCATCCTCATATATAACTCACGGTTATGTCGAGATTCATTTCAATGTCCAACTCTTTGCAGAGCTGACTTTCTGGTGTAAAAGGATGGTAATCTTTCATCCCATACCCAAAGAGCAAGGAGGCGAGAAGCCAGCACAAAGCTGGGTTCAGGTAAGAGTGCTGGAACCTCCCACAACCCAACCAAGGGTCAATTCAGTGACCAATCAGGATTACAGATGTGGCCACATGACATGTACTACATTTCCCAGGATACCTTAACTACATTTATCATGATGCATTCCCTTAAGGGGACAGCTCCCAATTCCTAACTATGCCAATTCCCAATTAACTATAAACTGTCTGGACAGCACACGCTTTCTATTGTTGTTAGTTGCGAAGTCGTGTCCGACCCATTGCCTGAAGGGGATGCCCCTCCCCCATGGAATTAGCAGGTAAACATGAAGGGAGACGTGACTGCTTGTGCCTTAGTGGCACAGAGCAAAAATCAACCTAGGAGCAGCTTTGTGTGGAGGTACTAGGATAAATTTTGTCTAATTCTGAATGGTGTGTCTATATATGTGTGTATGTGTATGCAGCTAATTTTCAATACAAACATGTTGGACAAATTTCCCTCCTACCAGACAGAAGTCCAAAGTGTTTAAGACCAAGGTGTTCATAATTTGCTGTGGCAACCACTCTCAAATACACAATCCTTACATGAGTACATTAAACTGGTTGCAATATAAATAAGACAACAAATAAAACATTTCAATGAATTTCCACCCTCCCCCCATAATCTTTCCAGCTGTCTTTTAGGAATTGAAAGAGTGTCTTTTACTGGTCCATCAGCTTCACTTGGGATCTTCAGCTGGAATAACATAAGCTGACACTCAGGTAGGAAAAATCAAAAATTTGGTACTCCTGCAATGAGAAAAATCACAAACAAAGCCCATTCATACTACCATGACCACATCAGCTTTTAGTAATTTTTATTCTCAACCAGTCTTCTCCAGGAAACACTTTCCACTCTTTTAAGTTCATCAGCTGGGGTCCACCCTTTTTCTTTTGTTTGGATTGCTGTTTCAGTGGTCAGCAAGATTTGGTAGGACCTGTGCCAGGCTTTTATCAGGACCCAGTTACCAGGCTGGAAATTATGGACAGCAAATTTGAGAGGTAGGGTTTGAGCTAGAAGTCCTTTGCTTCTGAAGTAAGATAAAGAAGAGTAGAGGCCAAGTATACAATTCTCGACAGACATATCTAGTTTCACATTGTGGGATTTCCCCATTCTGCCCAAGCGTGGTAATCCAAACATTTGAGAAGGAAAAATATCCCTTTTGGGACAGGTTCAAATTCTGAGCCAGGCCAAGGGTAAACAGTTGGTCCATGGCATAGATGAATTTGCATTCCACAGAACGTGACATTCCCACCGAATTCCCACACTCCATGATTGATTGAAGCACTTTTGCAGAAAAATGAGTTGCTATCTAAGTATTATCTGCTCCAGTATAATTTTGGCTCTCATGGGTGGATAAGCCTCAACCCATCCAGTCAAGTGATCCACTATCATCAAAAAGAAAAGAAAAGAAATTTCCCTACTTTTAGCCATTCCCCCAAGGGAACATCATTTAAATCAAGTTTAACCTGAGGCCCGTGTTGGTGAACATACGTCACGTGTGCCAGAAGTGGCACACAGAGCCATTCCCCCCAGCACATGAGAGGTCGCCCGGAAGAGCCCCACTGAAGGGAACAGTAATAATAAATATAGAAATGTAGTAGAATATATTATAGCATTAAGTAGAGTTACTCTATAAGCCATTTATCTTGCTGTTGTAAAAAAAGATTTCCTTAACCTTTCACTTGTTTCAATTGTTGTAAAAATTATAAACACATGTCTGCCATCAGTTACATCCCTCTCCAATTAAGACACATGATTGTCCCATCTAAATCAATCTGAAACCATCTGTTTTCCTGGATTGATACATTTCACCCCAGCATCACCCCCTGGGAATGAAACTTACCTCTCTGGGAATGTACCTCCATCCACAACTTTGAAGTATGCTGTTAATAGCCTCCTTAAGGCATGTGTTTAGAATTGTTTTACAACAATTGAAAGGTTAAGGAAATCTTTTTTACAATGGCAAGATAACGAATGCCTATAGAGTAACTCTCTACTTAATGCTATAATACATTTTACCACATTTCTTTATTATTGCTATTCCCTTCAGCTGTTCTCCAGCTGCAGCGGCTTTAAAGCAATAGAGCAACCAACCCGCCCACTGCCTCCTACGGGGATTTTTTCCCCGCCCTGATTTCAAACAATCACACAAAACCCCCACAAATATTCCCCGCGCCCACCTTCCTTCCGCTCCAAAATGCGTAGCTCGGAAGGCGGTTGCTAGGCACAAGAAGAGGGCATCGTTCCGGGGGGAGTAAGAGGCGGCCTCGTAGCCCGAGGCTCTCAGAAATGTCGGCCGCCTTTTCCCTGAAATCGGGGAATGGAAGGTGTTGCCTGCTCTGGAAATCCGGCTCTACTGTGCGGGCACCTCCGCCATTAAGCGACGGTGGTTCTCCCACGTTCCCGCCGCCAATCTCCCCTTGCCATCAGTGACTAAAGGGGTGCTTCTCTTCCTGCCCTTCTTCAGCCGAAAGGAGGGTGGGAAGAGGTGAGCCCTGGTTGCGTTCCCTCGTGCGGCGCTGCTTTCCAAAGTTTTCACGATTTGAAAAAGCGAGCGGCTTAAATGCGTTTGAACGCGTGTGTGTGTGTCCCCCACAGAGATTTTTGCCAGTTCGAGCCTCTCCGCCTCCAGTATTTTAAAGGAGATGCAATCCTGTCACCGATCCCAAAGTCGGCGCAAGAAATTTGCGCCCCTGCTTACCTTTTGGCTTCTCCCAATTCTATTCGAAAAGAGGCTCCAGCTGCCTCGTCGCTCGTTTCACCAATGCGTGTAAACTGCAGCTTTCTAACGGTACCCCCTTCTGACCTTAAACTTTTACCGACAGCATCCCTTTCCCTGCCACGTCGTTTGTTTTTTGAACTCGCCCCAAAACCCCATTCCCCAGGACTTGATGCGGGTAGGGATTCTAATCAGCTCCGCACTCAAGTTACGGGATGATGGCCGGTATCATTGGTGGGGCCCCGGCGGACCAAATCCTGCCCTTTCTGAACCCCGCAGTACCTTGAGCCACGGCCCCTCCAATTCAGGCGGGGACCCCCCTGAAAACTGCTCGCCGGCTCCGTGCTGCTGCAGCCGACCACGTGAGGGCGTCCAGTGTGTTAGTTACAACAAATTAACCCAGGGCTAGTGCTCCCCCCGAGGTTCATCAACGCCCCCCGACCGGACAGAGACATGCGAGCCCCGCTTTTCTATCTGAGCCATGCGCTCCCCGAGAACTGGGGCTCTTTCTAGGAGGTGCAGAGCCCTCCATATAGGGCGCCCCTATCCTCTGTCTTTCCCCAGTATAGGGTGCGCCTTTAAAATCGCCTCTGAAGAGTCTTTCCTGTGTCCGGAAAACTTTGACACCCAGGCAGTTGGATCAGGCACCGTCGGGAGCAGCAGATGCCAACATTACCTCGTCCCTACGGCCCTGGACACGCGCAAGAGAGCTCGGCGAAGGGGCCACAAAAAGCACAATTCAGAGCTTGCCTTCTCGCTCCCTGTTGTTGTTCTCAACGTGGTCCGCTCCTGACGTATATAAAGAGCCGTGCCGAAGCCCGCCCAGGCAGATTGCTTTTCTCAGGCGGCGTTCAAGGCAGCGGTGTTGGGTCGCTCGGATTGTGTCTTGTCTCCGCTCATCCGGCGTCCCGCAGACCGAGAGCAGCCCTGCGGAAAAAGAGCTCCGAGGGCCAGCCGTGCGTTCGCTCCCCCAACACTTTTGGGCTTGAAAGCCTGCGCGTATTTCCCAACATGTCTGTTGAACTGGAAGAAGCTGACCTGCCGCTGACCGAGGCAGAAGAGGCGCCTCTGGCTCCGGAAAAGAGAGGGGCGGCCAAAAAAGCCAAAGGCGGCGTGTCGGCGGCGCTCTCCCCCTCCAAGAAGAAGAAAAACAACAAGAAAAAGAACCAGCCCGGCAAGTACAGCCAGCTAGTGGTGGAATCCATCCGCAAACTGGGCGAGCGTAATGGCTCCTCGCTGGCCAAAATCTACAACGAAGCCAAGAAAGTGGCTTGGTTCGACCAGCAAAACGGGCGGACCTATCTCAAATACTCCATCAAGGCGCTGGTGCAAAACGACACTTTGCTCCAAGTGAAAGGCACCGGCGCCAACGGCTCTTTCAAGCTCAACAGGAAAAAGCTCGAGGGGGGAAGCGAAGGAGGCGCCGGAGGCGGTGGCGGCGGCTCCCACGCCGCCAAATCCCACAAGAAGGCGGTCGTGGCCTCCACTTCGCGAAAGGTCGAGAAGAAGCCCGTGGCCAAGAGCAAAAAGCTGGAGAAGAAATCGCACAAGAAAGGCGCGGGCGGCGCGAGCACCAAGAAAGAGAAGGTGAAAGTGAAGAAAGCCCCCAAGAAGAGCGTCGCTTCCCCCAGCGCCAAGAAGGTGAAAAAATCGGCGAAGCCCAAGGCTCTCAAGGGCAGGAAATGAGACTGCTGCTGGCCTCCAGCTAGGAGGGAAGATACCGCCGCCTCCCTTGTCTTTCGTCCCAAGACTTTGGAACCCCGAGACGACACTTGACTTTAATCTCGAAGCCCAGAGTCATGTTTCCAGCTTTGATTATTATATTTTTGTTTTGTTTTTTTGGGGGGGGGGATCCCATTTCTGCATCATTTCTTCCCTCGGAAGGCGGGCGTGTGTAAACTATAGCACTTCGCTTTCACCAGATTCCCATCGAGATCATTGGGGCATTTTGTTGGATCGTGGAAAGGTGTCGTACTTTAACCTTCACACCCCTTCCCCCCCCCCTTTTTATTGGAGTATTGTTACCATTGAAGCTTGCTTTTTTGCTTTTGTGTTCTGCAAAAGTAGCGTGATATCGTTGTAACCTCCCCCCCTTCACCTCCATATCTGGGCGAGGTTCGGTCCTTCGGCATCAGCCCCCCCACCCTTTACTGCAGGGGAGGCGGGGGTCATCCTTGGTGTGGATTCCTTTGAAGTTTGAACTACCCGCAGTCTCCGTTGCCCCCTCTTTAAGGGCTGGGATGCCATAGCAACAGCCTGTTGGATGCATGGGCGGCCTGGAGTGCTGGGGGGGGGGGGGAGGCGGTTGCATGGGACCAAGTTGACCAGCAGAGTAGCTGGTTTTACCTCGGAGACTTGCGCAATCACTGCAGATTTGAAATATCCAGTTGAATCTGGGGGCGGGGAGGGAAGCAGTTCACCTTTGCCTGCAAGATTTTGTATCGTCCTTTTCGGGTCTCGTCTTCAAATGCCTTTTTTTAAAAAAAATACAAAATATCCTCATGTTTTTTTTTTGTTCAATAAATCGTTAAAACATTTTCTCACGTTCTGCTTCCTCGGTGTCTTCATATTCAGGATCGAAACGAGACAGTCGGTTTTATTGGGAGGGAGGGAGGGAAGGAGATGGGATACCGGGGGCGTTGCAATCGTGAGATCCCAAAATCACTCTTGAATGGGGGGGAGGGGGGTCTCGGTGCAGATGTTGGGCGCCCTCCCTCAATGCAACTAAATGGGTGGGCGTGGCTGTTTTACATCCCTTGTCCCTCTAAGCTTTTGGCAAAGATGCACACTCCCTTGCTAGATAACCTTACATTCTGGGGTAACCTTGTTTGGGGCGCAGTTGAGCCACCTAGGGCCTAAATAAAGGGTAAAGCCCGCCCGCTGGACAACTCCAAAGGAGGATTAACCTCTTTTTCACGCCCACCCCAAAGCGGACACACCCGGACATTTTGCAAAGCCCCGCCCCCATTGGCGAGCTTTCTATATTCCGAGCCTTTTTTTAGAGCGAGTCATCTGGCTCTCTTGCGCATGTGTAAGCGAGGACGCCGATTGGGCACTGGAGAAGAGCGAATCACTGAGCCGGAAGTAGCGTCGTCGGACGGAAGGCTTCGGATTCGTAGATCCTGAGTGGTGGGCGGGGCAAAGAGTCTCAAGGCTTCTGGCTATGGAAATTTTCCTCCCCCCGTTTTTCTCACCGCGCTCTCGCTCTTTGGTCCCTTAGTTGCTGAAGATGCGCTTCTGTTCGCTTACTGCAGGCATTCATATTTGGGAAAGAAGCAGGGATTGCAAAAAAAATTTGCCATCCCACCTCCCCTTTAGTATAATCTTAATGTATGCGACTCCCTTAAAAAATCCAAAGAGCAAAATGAACAGAAATGAACAGTGAAAACAAAACAACGAAACTGGGAAAGATGGATTTATTGTAATAATAATGTAACTAAAAGGTTCTTCGTACCCAAGGGAGGTACAGCTCGGAGAAACCCTCCTGGAGGAACATTTTTAGAACCACAGCACAATGCAGCCATTGCTGGTCATAACTACTCGCCCTTCCGACCACCTTTTTGTGGTGTTCGTTGTACATGTGATGGGCCATCTGCTAAAATAAAGCCAGGCCATGGCACACACTTCAAAGTAAACCAGGAAGACTGTAATTGTGGAGTATGTCTGGCAAGAACAAAGAATTCTTATCCACAGGAAATATGCAGGTGTAAATCTGGCTAATTAGAAAGCTGATAAAAGTAACCCAAGTTAAACAACTTGCAGACCTCAGCTAAAAGTTAGGCCTGCAGCAAATCAAATGTGGATTAGATAACGCCTAGGGCATTCATTAGCCAGGATTTGGGAATAGAGACAGCTTGAGACCAATGAAACAAATTGTAGATTACTAAAATGTTTATTAGATGATATTTCTTATTATCGTGCTTTGTCCCACCTTGTCCCTGTGTGAAAAGGTATACAACTTACTCAATCCTTTGTTCTTGGCTCTTGGCATTTTGACCAGGAGCCTTTTTCCTTGGAGTACTCCCATCAAAAGCAATCAGAAAACCTGCACCTCGTGTCTGGTGTCAATCACTGGCTTTGGCACCAGGCTCAGACCAAAACTGGGAGCAACACTTGTGTAGGAAAGGAACCTAATGTTTGTAGTAAAATTGACACATTTCTTCCCCACCTGTCCCACATTTAAAACCCCTTTCTAATTCAGTATAAACCACAGAAACTAGGCTGGATGCAAAAACTAAAGTGCCTAGGCGTGCCTTTCACATCTACCAAATATTGGTAAAGGACATGTATTATATTCCTTGAAACTTAGTATCTCTTAAGCATTTAATGAATCGAATCTACCCAGGGGGATCTGGATAGATAAAATTCAAAACTACGTAATAATCTCTAAATTGGTAAAAACCAGACCACAACTTTATAATACCAAGGCTCTTAGAAAAGTGGGTTAGGCTTTAGATAATTTCATATTGTCTTTGGGCAAAGCAGCAATTTCCTAGAAGCGGATGGCATTTACTTCCTGCCTTCATTCTATAAAAAGTGGGGAGAAATGCTCAGTGTGAAGCAAGAAAACAAGGAACTGCTGCACACATCTACAAGGATCTTTCCAATTATCCTTGCTGCAATGACCTATACTGAAACTCCACACCTGATTTAAGAAAGAAGTAACTGATATAGTCAAGGTCTTTGGGGGAAGGGTTAGGGTAGAATTATACTATTTCCCTTTCTCAATAAGGTGCTTATTTCATTTATGGCTGCATTTGTATTACACATTAAAATCTTCCCTGTCTGCAAAATTGCATCATTATATAGCTAACACTTGGGATTCAAGATTCGCACAAAGGTCATTAAGTCCTGTTATTTTGGGGCTCTGAGGAGAAAGATTGAAAGCATCACAAAGGGGAAAGGGGACAAATGACACCATTGCATAATTTGCACAATACCATGGTACATATGTTATAATAGGGGTATCAAACTCACATTGTCATGGCAGCATCGTGACTATTGGACTTCCCCTCCCTTCGCTAAATGGTATGGGTGTGGCCAGCACATGAAGCATCCAGCTCACGGGTGAAGAGTTTGACAGCCCTGTGTTATAATTTAGGGGTGGGGTGGGGGGGAGAATGGCAGCAGAGTCAGAAGGAAGTTACCTAAGAAAGAATTGCCTATTGCTCCTTAGGGTTTCCTCTTAAGCAAGATAATAGCACTCATCTTCCCACCACCAATTCCATTTACAGTAGAACTTAAATCTTATTCAACCCGCAAGGAAAAGCATTCTCAACCCTACTTAAGGGCAATAGACTACCATAGATGGGCACACAAAATCACATATGATTAACCACCATTCTGCTCCCATCATCTGCACTAATGCTGTTCTATTATTGTACCAAAGGAAAAAACCAGTTTGGAGTCTGAAAAGTACTTATCCTAACAACAAACTAATTTCAACTACTACAATTGGAGGGACATACCGGTAGCAGAGAAAAAAAATCAACAATGATCCATCAGTAGAGGTGGCTCATGTAAGCATGGAAGCTGCTACAGTGTTATTCTGATAATGGTAAGTTGTAAAAACAAGATTAAGTTTTTTATTTTATATCTAAACAGTAGAAGGTCATTATAACTGATTATAAAGGTCCTGAGAAATATTGTTTTACAATAAAAATTATAAATATAGTTTGTTTTAAGGATATGGACTTGATAATTATCACACAGATGAAGCCAGATCATGAAGGTACCGTAGTTGTACATCTATGGAAATGTAGTAAGAGACTCAACATCACACCCTGTCTAAGTAAATCAAGGGCTTTCTTAAAACAAGTAAAAGCCAAAAGAGAGAGAAGTAAGAATACATTTCTACCATAACCAAAGTGCTCTGCAGCAGTTTTAAGTCTCATATAGAAGCAGTAGATAAAGTTAAGTGTAAATAGCATCTATTGAGGCGAAAACCACCCTACTTTATCTACTTGCAAACTAAAGCAATTAAATAAAGTGATACCAAAATTTTACAGGCTTACACACAATTCAGCTCCAATTTTTCAAATAACAGAATACAAATTTTCCAGCTAATATGTTGGTATAGTGGCCTGTTCCGGAATGCAAAAAGTGTTATGGCATCATAACGCACTCTCTCATATTTGTGTCATATCACACAAATATGTAAGGGACAGCATTTATGACTAAATATTTTGTCAGCTCCACCCACAAATGAAAAAGAGCTTGGGAAATGAAGTTAAGGGACCTCACACTCCACACAAGATGATCAAAACATTTCTGCTGTTGATCTTTCCTTTCTTCCAACAGTATTTCTAGCCATTTCTCTTTCCATGAACCAAAGAATTCCAAGCAGATAAAGCAATGACATGTTGAGAGGCAATTTTGATGTGTACTCAAGACTGAATCAGTTTAATATTTGTTTCGCACTTTCCAATTTCACAACTTCAACTTTTGCATTTTCTAATACAAATCAATAGTTGACATAACACAAAATACTGATCTTGAAAGTAATTTTTAAACGACAGAAAACACAAATAAAGGAACTCTTGTTTTCCAGTTCTCAGCCATTCTTTGCATTTCAAGGATTCCTTCTCTTCTATGATGCAATCAGTGTTCATTCTCACAGAAAGCAAGAGCCCACCTGACCCAGTGCCAGAAAAATGAGACAGCTATTTAAATCCAAGAGGTCTTTTTTTACCCCTGGGTCTGTAATGTAACAGGCAAGACAGACAGACATAGATGGCTAAAGGTTGTTTTTTTTCTTAAGTATCACTAATGAGATTGTACACTCACCAGCAACTGACTGAACAAACCACATTCCTTATTCTGTTATTAAAGTATCTCAGCCTCCACTGGTCTAGATATCCTTAGCTGAATCCAGAGCAAGACAATAGTTCATCCACAGATTTACATCCCACATGATGATTCGAACACATGCTACTTAACTGCACAAACACAGCTGACCTTATACAAGATTACAGATTCTACTTGCTCAATAGCCTAGAGATTGCTGCATGCACATAGCTCTATAAACTTTTCACCTAAGCAAGCAAGTTTTGGCTCTGTACCACAGCTACTAGGCATTACAGGACAGGCTAGGCCAACCTCCATGCTCATACATTATCCAAACACCTATTTAGCAAACCACCAAACACTAACTAGATATTTTACTCTTGTATAAATTATATTTTTCCTAAAACCCAACCTCCAAACATTAAGCTACTGAGGATTACAGTTAGATGGATGCCATACTTGCACTCTTATTTTAAGCACTAGAAGCAAAATTCCAAACAAAAAAACCTGTATAGATTAAAGTGCAAACTAGGGTACAAATACTAGACTTCAATCATTGCAGGTGACATTACAAGAGGACTGATAATGGAAGGAGGAAACACAACAAAACTGCTTCCCATTTCAAGAAAACAATAAATGTATATCTCTGAGGCTGAAAACCACAAAAGCAGCCACACTAAAATACTTTGATTTTCGTTCCAGTGACATCAAATGGACAAAAATAGACCTAAATCCAAAGACTCTTGCTTAGAATGAGTTTCCAGATAAACTGGAAGCTGGAACTGTTATATCACTGAATATATCACATCAAATTTAGAGATAAACAGCTTCTCCCTTCCCCATTCTTTCCTCCACCCCCTTTGAAAGAGAAAAATATTCCGTATGGGCTGGCACTCCTATTCCACAGTTGCCTCTGGAACATATTAGGTGTTACAGGAGGTGCTTGATGGGAAGACTATAAAGCAAAGATGTGTACATATCCAAGGAATTCTTAAAAAGTCTTTGCCTCTCAATCAAGATTATTTACTTAAGATTTTGTTGCAATACACAAACCAAAACTCCACAAAGAAACAGGAATGGAGTGCCAGTATAACTACACAATAGCTCATCATAAAGCAAACACAAGGAAAACATTATATGAAGTTATTCCTTTCTCAGAAAAAAAAAGTTATTTTCACATTTAGAACTTCCTTCCCTCCCACATTTTAAATCCATAAATTCATGATCACATTTAATGGGGATGTGCAACATCAGAGAGATCGATCCATTATCTCCAGGTCTGGGACCTCACAGTTTGAAGAGATTAGATTGAGTGTTGGTGTAATACAATGGCCAACCCTTCCTCGCTCTGTATACTTTCACCTTTTCGGTACAGAAAGAGATATAAAATCAGCATTGTCACACAGTGAGGCCTATGGTCGAAGCAGTTTCTTGCCTTCCCAATGATGGCCTGTGCTGCTTTCATGACTTTCTCATCTCCATGACTCCCGGTTTGTTTGTTTTTAGTTCTCCATGGGAAAAAAAATGCAAAGATCATTCTAGTGTCAAAAAAAATATTTCCTCCTACTCCCTCCTCTTCTCCAGAACAATCAAAGCGATTTAAGGGAGCAAAATAAAACCCCTGCCCCCGCATCCCATTGCTGCAGCTGTAGAACACACAGCTTCCAAGGCAATGGGATGTCAGGCTCAATCGTCCCAGAGAAAAGGAGGGGGGACTGGGGGGGGGGGAGAAATAATCTATTTGCAGGGCGCTAGATGGCAGCCAGGCCCAAAGCACGTGCCCTTTTCGGTGACACGAAAAATGACGGCCACTCTTTCCCACCTCAAGTCTTCAGCATGGAAAAGGAGCAGGGGACTTCAGCGCTGGGCCAGGCGAGGAAGCGCACGAGGAACCCAGGCGGTTTTGTAGCACCAGCAGCCCCGAGACGTGGGGCAGGCGGCCGGGCAGGCAGGCAGGCAGGCAGGCCCCATGGGAAGGAGGATTGAGAATAGAGGCAAGAGGGCCAGGATCAGGTTAGCAGGAAAAGGGCGAGCGGGGATAGCTCAGCGCCGGCTGCACCAGGACAGACGATGCGGTGAAGAAATCACCTGCCCGGTACTGGGCTGCACCAAGTGACGCGGAAGGGAGGCAGGAAGGCAGGACAAAATGTCCGGTGGCCGCTGCACCAGATCCTATGGGTGGGGCGCAAGGAAACAAATGGGCGAGCGCTTTCCTTTAGCCAGGCAACCGGCTTCATTTCTTGGAGCTCTGGGTCTTCTTGGGCAGCAGCACGGCCTGGATATTGGGCAGAACCCCACCCTGGGCGATCGTCACCCCGCCCAGCAGCTTGTTGAGCTCCTCGTCGTTGCGAATGGCCAGCTGCAGGTGCCGAGGGATGATCCTGGTCTTTTTGTTGTCCCGCGCAGCGTTGCCGGCCAGTTCCAGGATCTCGGCCGAGAGGTACTCGAGCACGGCGGCCAAATAAACAGGTGCTCCGGCGCCCACCCGCTCCGCGTAGTTGCCCTTCCGCAGCAGCCGATGCACTCGCCCGACGGGGAACTGGAGGCCGGCTCGAGAGGAGCGAGACTTGGCTTTGGCTCTGGCTTTCCCTCCGGATTTACCCCGGCCGGACATAACGAGGCGAGGCTGGGCGCTCGGTCAGAGCTAAGGCGCCGAGACCCCCCGGTTGCAAAGCAGGCAGGCAGGCAGGCAGCAACGGCCTCGTCTGGATAACGGGGAAAAATAACACCCGCGTAAGCACAGCGGCGGAGGGGAGCGGGGGGGGTGGGCGACTCGAAGAGCGGCATGAGGACGCTGACGCCGCGCATTCCACACTCCTCCCACCCGCTGCCTCAACCCGATCTCATGACCCCGATCCACCAGCCCCGATTTAGCTCTCCTTGGGATTCCCGCACCCCCCCCGCACCTCCTTTACCGTTGGTTGCTTCCACAGGGGCCGCCGAAAAGCCGCAGCTGCAATGACAACAAGCGCGAGACGCTGAAGGATATAAATCCAAGCGCATCCTCTCGCTGGCTTCCCATTGGGCAGCTAAGAGAGCGGAGCTGCGCTCTTATTGGCGGGCCCTCCGATCTCTGATTTGCATAGTAGCTCGCTTCCTCCATATTCGGTCTCGGCTGAGAACTCGGGCAGCTGCAGAGCGAAAGACCTGGATGCGCGCGCAAAAGGATTAAGTATTAATAGTGGGGAATATTTTGTAGCTCAGGGTAGACGTGAGGGGGTCCTTGCTTGTTTTCTTGCAGACGTTTCATTACCCAAAGTAGGAAACATCATCAGTGCTACCGTAGTAAAGGAGTGCTGTTTGCTGTCAGTTTATATTCTGGTGACTTGCCTGTCAGTATTGGTGGTGGCGGCAGTCTTACGAGATTCTTTGGCTCGGGCTGTTTGCTGTTGGCTTCTTTGGCAGTTTCTTGATTGGGGTATTGCTTACTTGATTGGTCTTGTCGGTTTGATGTTAACCTTGGAGTTAATCTGTGCTGATCTGGGTGCTGATTGCTGGTGGAGAGGTTCTTAGGTCTTTTTGTTTCTGGGTGATAGTCTCTTTTGCATGGTCTATAGATGTTAATGGCTATGTGCCTATTGATGGCTGAATTGTCAGAGTGCCAAGCTTTTAGAAATTCCCTAGTGTTTTTGCACTTGGCTTGGTCTAGGATAGTCACCTTTTCCCAATTGAAACTATGGTGAAATCTGTCTTTATGTGTAGTGAAATTAATGATGAAAATTCTTTTAAGCACCAGGTTTGGGCAAATGAAACGTCTGCAAGAAAAGAAGCTCAAAGAGCACCAAGGACTCCTCAGGATTAACAAGTATATTGAGGTGTGGGAGTTGCAACCTTTGTTGAGACTTCAGGTCTTTGGCAGAATGACAGAAAGCTGAAGAAAGAGAAAACCACTTTCTTTGGCATTGTCATTCTAGTGCATTGTCATCTGGAGTGGCCAATCTGCCTTGAAGCATTAAAAGTCTGTAGAGATTCTCAGTCATCCAGGTCTTGGTTGAAGCCATCCAAGATGAGAAGCTCAACATCTTCAAAAGAAAAAGCAAGAAAGTTCAGTTGCCTCCTGAAAAAGCACCTTTGGGACAGTAGAGTAAGAGGCGGTGAAGTAGGGTATTTCCTTCAATGCCACACCAAATTCATTTCTCCAGGATAACTTTGTTTCTCTTCCCCGGCTCGTGGTTAACTGGCCCAAGTGCAAATGCATATGTAGGATGAGTATTGCCTAACTTTACAGATTTGTCTGGTTTGTCACAAAACTTGTAGGCTAACATGAAAGAGTAGGGTGGGTTTATTCCAATTTGTATTTATTTGTGCAATATCTGAACAAACTGCATGTGCCGGCCCAGTTTTAGTTTGCCTTCTGGAAACTTAATTTTATAATAGCTGTGGCTTGGATATTTGCAAAGATTGATTGCTCAGTCCAGAAGCAGGGGAGATAAATAGACGTACACATTTAGCAGAAGTTTTGTGACTGTTGTTAAAGTCAGAGGACTCTTGAATGTGGTTTTTTTCAGAGTTTGAAATCATGCTGCTAAGGAGAAGGAATTGCATTTAAAATGGCATATGAATATGTGGAAATGAAAAGTTATTCTTTCCCATCAGACCCACAGACTCAGAGAATGGCAAAAGAATAATGTACTGGTTTCTTTCAGAACTACCATCAGTCAGTTGCAAAAGGAAGCTCTGCTTGGAACTGGTTATGTCCTGAATAATACCTTTAACACCATTAAACATCTCTGTATCCCCAGATCTTTGAGGACTCATCCAATCTAAACACCTGGCTGACTGTGCAACCAATCATAATCATAATAAAATATCTGATCCAATGCCAGATTGGACATTGGGGACAATTAATATACGATTACTGTATTTTTTGCATTATAAGATGCTCTAGACCATAAGAGGCACCTAGCTTTTGGGGAGGAAAACAAGAAAAAAAAATCTGCGTCTGCCTTCCAGCAATTTGCTTACTTGCAGCAAAGCGCCTGGTCAGCTTCAACACAGCCTTATTTAGCATGAGCAGCTGATTGGATCAGCTCCACTAGAGCTAGAAATGACTAGCATGCATGTAGCATGTGCGGGCAATTTTTACCTTTACTGCATGATTTACTTATAAGTTTGTCTACCATGTCCTACTATTACAAATTGTGAAGTGTATTCAAGTATCTCTCAGCCCAACCTTGCTCAGAGGATTGCTGTTAAGAAAAATAGGGAGTTCTAAGTACATCACCTTGAGCTCTTGAATTTTTGGAACTAACTAAAATAACAAACTGCTATTCAGGATGAGAAATTTTGGAATAATTCAATAAACTGGGCTATTAAAAAGCAGGGAGAAATACAATCAGCTGCTCAGTAATGTACAGATTTTTTTCTCCAGCAACACCTGCAGTCATTGTAAAATTATAATTACCATATGTACAACTAATATTGAAGACTCTTCTCCCTACTCCCGTTACTATAAATTAGCACACACATAAATTACATAAAACTGTTGCAATGGCCAAAAAGGTTCACCTGAGCTTTCAAAGGAAGTGTTCACAAAAGGTCTCCATTCATGAAAACAGACAGCCATGACATTTTTTAGCTTGGGCTCTGGATTATTTTTTTGAAGCTTGTCACTATTGTGCAAAAACCATGGAGAAACTCCATCCCTCAGTGACCCAAACTTCTCTCAATAAGGAGATCTTAGCAAGCTGATTATAGACAATAGTCCTGTTTTCTTCAGTTCCAATTGTAGCCATTCTTAAATAATTGGAAAGACAGTCCTGCATCATTCCCAATGATGGTACAAGAAGCCTATAAGGAATAGCACAAACTACAGAATGTTCAAAATGGTTATAACATGAATTGGTGCAAAATCGCAAACTCTTCAGGATTTGGAATACTTTCTGTACTGAATAATCAAATGCCCAGAATTCTGATTATATTACTGTACTGTACATTTTTCAAATATCAAAATAAGGGCGATGTTGCAGTAAACTCTCCCTGCAAATTGTATTTTACTGTATTTAGTAGGAATTCTATGCATGCAAACAATGAGATATCTAAATGCTTTTTTATTTCTAAAGCTGTTGTCAGGTTAGAAATTAATGTCAAAAGAATTTTAACTCTGAAAAAAATCTTTATTTATATTACCAGCATTGTTTATGTATTAAAACCTTTAAGATATCCCAAATTTGCCTTCTTATTTCTAGTGAACAGAATTTCATGCATTTCAAAGGAACTTTGAATAATTTTTCTGCATATCTAATAAAATGAATGATCATATAACCAAGTATCCTTTTTAAAAAATTAAATACTCTCCCCTCTTTTTAGCCCAGGATTTTGTGAAGAATATACATCTGCATGAATTTCAGGCCTATTTTGGATTTATCTTCTGAAATACCATTTTAATCACCCACCCTTTTGATAATAGTAGTCCTGATGTCTCTTGGGATGAATAGCAACACTTGTCTTGAGTCCAGTGTGACTCCACATAAGCAGCTAATATTTTGTCTTTCTCTCTTGACCCTATAAAGCTTTAGTTTACCATTTTTTGCATTTTTCCCTAAATATCCAGTTATCCTTGCGGCTTTGCTCCGCATTAGGAGGGCTTCTCATTGAGTCCAATGCA